ATGCAGCACGTCCGCACATCTTCTCCAACACCCTCCGCCCTCCAAATGCCACGCTGGCATAGGATTGTGATGGGAGTTACTGCCTGGCATTGTTCCAATCAGACAAGGTACATATAGATCTCTGACATTCCAGAGAAACTGACATGACTACTTTAAAAACGGAATGCTTTCCATGCAGTGAAAACACTGATCTTAGTGGTTTAGTGAATTTTGACCCCATGACCCACACTTCAGTTGCAGTCAGAACATGCCCATCCCTGTGGGGCACTGCCTGTCCTTGGCCCTGGTGCCGTGAGATCCTGCGGCTGTGCTGTGTGGCTTCTGCTCTCTCGGCTGCAGGCTTGTAGTTCTTCCTCCTGTTTGTGGACAGGTGTTCAAGTTTTTGTTCATCCAAGCATTGATTGCAAGTTACCATTGTAGGGAGGGGCCTTCCTGGTGCCTGGGACAGGTCTGTAATGGAGCACAAGGGCGGGTTGGCGCCCACCTTGGTAGACCAACCACGTGACATCATGGTTGCAAGGGGTTAGGGTCAGACCCATCCCAGCCAGGTCTAGACAGAAGAGGCTCTGGGACATGGGGCAGGGTAAGGAGCAGGGTGGGGGGGGGAGCTTCCTAGGGAGGGCAGTGGTTGTCTGGGGGCACAGCATCAGCGAGGAGGGGAACTGGAGACGTTGAGGGTCAGTGATCAGTCTGGCTATAGATTGATGGGCCGAGCCATAACGCTTTGCCGTCACCTGCCCCGAAGCCCGCCCAGGCCGGCCTGGTTGGGATAGGAAGGAAACCCAGTTACTGGCTGTCAGAGGCCGGCTGGTGAGGACCAGACAGCAAGAAGAAAGGTGCGGGCCTGCCGGCAGGCAGAGAAGTGAAGCTGACATTGGCATGTGGGACCCTCAGGATCAGAGGAAGCTCACGCCCCTGCCTGTGCGGAAGCAGGTGGGATTGGGGCACTAGGTGGGGAAGGGAGAAGATGGGGCCCTGGCAGGGCCACAGGATGATGACAATGATGGGAGGGTGTTAGGGTGTGAGGGACACACTCCACATCCTCATACACACAGCACACTACGCACATGCACATAGAACACACCTCACGAAGAAACCAAGATGGCGGCATAGGGTAGACACCTGAATGCCGCCTACCACAACAAATTTGAATTTAGAACCGGAAAACAGAGAAAACATTGCCCTCAAGCGCCGGACAGCCGGCTGAGAGGAGGCTCTACCATCTGGGAAGGAGAGAGAAGGCACGCTGAACCTCAGGAACTGTGAAGGTGCGGAGAACTGTGCGCACAAAAAGGCGGCTGCCAGACTTCGCTGCCGGCTTGCTTGCGGAGTGTGGAGAGGGCAGGCCAAGTTCGCTACTGGCTTACTCCCTGCGTGCGAAGCTGGCGGACAGCTAATGCACGGTTGGCTTTCTTCTTCGGGAGGAAAACAGAAGCACCCTATTGCTCCAATAGATGGTCCCAGACGGAGAGGCCAGACTGTCAGGCAGTGAGCAGAGATCTCTCAGAGGTGTGTGAAGCCAGCGGCCATTACTGTGGGACTCAGAAGCCAGACCCTCGTAGGGAGGGGCTGACAAAGCTTGTCTGCACCACCCCGAGACTCTGCCCCATCCAAGCAAAGCATAGAAGCCCTTCCAGTGGCTAGCTTTCTCATTTGCCATAAATAGGACTCTCCTAGGGAGGGACAGATAGGAATCCAAAGCTTATATGCGCCTATAAAGAGGTGTGCGCGCCTGCAACCAATTTTGCAGGATTCACCAAGGCTTGTCTGTACCATCCACTCCAAGTGGAATACAGAAACCCTCCTAGCCGAGACACTTCTGATCCTCATAGCCAATTGGCTTGGAGATCAACGCTTCCCAGTGATACCAACAACAAACAAGGCTTAACAACAAGACTGCACCTCAGGTAACTGGGAGGCTGACCCACTGAACCATATAGGACACCTTAGCACACAAAGCCACCCTACCAACTCAGGGAAGCTGTGAAAATGCTGAGACAAGGAAACAGATCACAAACAAAAGAAATGGAGGACAAAAAGCGATTGGATATAGAGTTCAAAACCTTGGTTATAAGGTTTTTCAAGAATTTCCTAGAAAAGGCTGATAAAATAAACGAGACCTATGAGGATATGAAAAGAGATCAACTAGAAATAAAGAATACATAAAAAATATTATACAGAGTCCTAAAAACAGAATGGAAGATTGCAACAATCAAGTCAAAGATTTGGAACACAAAAAGCCAGAGGACACTCCTTCACAGAAGCAAGAAGACAAGAGAACCCAGAAAGTTGAAGATAGTGTAAGAAACCTCTGGGACAATTTCAAACGAACCAACATCAGAATTATGGGGGTCCCAGAAGAAGAGAGAGAGCAAGATACCAAAAGAATACTGGAAGAAATAGTGACAGAAAATTTCCCCCACCTAGTGAAAGAAATAGACTTACAAGTCCAGGAAGCGCACATAACTCCAAACAAAAGGAATCCAAAGAGGACCACACCAAGACACATCATAATTAAAATTCCAAGAGCAAAAGACAAAGAGAGAATATTAAAAGCAGCAAGAGCAAAGAAGGTAGTTACCTATATAGAGGAGCACCCATACGATTGTCAGCTGATTTCTCAACAGAAACCATGCAGGCCAGACAGGAATGGCAAGAAATATTCAAGGTGATGAACAGCAAAAACGTATAGCCAAAGATAATCTACCCAGCAAATCTACTCAGAATCAAAGGTCAGATAAAGAGCTTCACTAATAAAAAAAAGCTAAAGGAGTTCATCACCGCCAAACCAGAATTATATGAATTGCTGAAGGGGTTCTTTAGGAAGAGGAAGAAGATAAAGATAAAAATTATGATCAACAAATATGTAACTATCAACGAGTGAAACTGAAAGCCAAGGGAATTAAAAAACCTGATGAGCAATATTAACTGTTGAATATAATAGAATCAGAGGTATGGAAGGGGAGTGAACTGACGATTCTTGGGGAAAAGGGGAGTGGGGGGTTCGGGAAGAGCCTGAACATAAACTGTGCACCTATGGATGAGGACAATGGGGGGTGGGGGAAGGGCAGAGGGTGGGGTGGGAATCTGGTGGAGGGGAGCAATTGGGGAGGGAAAGAGGAACATTTGTAATCTGAACAATAAAGATTTATTTAAAAAATAAAAAAATAAAATGTATATAACAAAAAAAGAACACACCTCACACACATGCACATAGCACACATTCCACACATGTACTTAGCACACCACGCACATGCACACAGCACACTACACACACCTCACACACACAAATGCACACACTGCACACATGCACATGACACACTACATACATCACATATACATGCACATAGTGCACACTACACACACCTCACAACACACATCCACGCTGGTTCTGACAGGCAGCTGTGCCGGGTCTTTAGGACATAGTCTCCTGGGGGATACATGGGGCCTCAGTGCCCTCCCAAACCCTGGCCAGTGGCCAGCACAGAGCCAGGCCACCTCAGGGCCCACCCCACTGGGAGTCCTGACCCCTGCCAGGAACTCAGAGCTCAGGAATGGCTTCCTGGCTCCAGCTCCCATTTCCAGGTTAGGCTCCCACTAACCCCCACCCTTTTCCAGGCTGAGGACCCCCCTCACCGCCACCGTGGCCACCATGCTCAGACCCTGCCCAGTCTGAGCTCCAGGAAGCCCTGACATTACCTGCTTCCGGTGAGATTCAGACCCAGGCTCCTGCCAGGCACATGTTGTTGGTTAACCTCACCCAAGGATGTTTTCCCAATGTTTTTTAGAGCGAGTGTTAGGGAGCGAGGAGAGGTGAGAGAGAACCTCATCCTGCACTCGCCCTGACTGACCAAGGATTGAACCTGCAACCTTTCTGTGCAAGGGCATGTGCTCTACCCACTGAGCGCATGGCCAGGCCTGCCAGGCACTTTCAGGTAAAGTAAGAGGAGTTTGTGCCTCTCCACACCAGCCTCAGGATTCCTTTTGGTTTGAGAGTGGAAGGGGGAGGGAAGAGAGGAGAGAGAGGAACACCCATGTGCTGGGGCCACAGCCAGGGTCAGGGATGGACTCTGCACCCAGGTACGTGCCCTTGACTTTCTCCTTCCCTCCCCCCCCACCTGCCTTGGCTCTAACCACGGAGCTGTGGCGGCAGCCGGAAGTCGGCAGAGAACCCCCATCCATCCTAGGACAGGGTGCTAGGAGAGGGTGCAGCGGCCTTTGGGCACATCTAGGGCAGGCAGTGCCGCCCTTCGCCCCAACCCCGGGCCCTGGGCTGGGAGAGGGGGGAGGGGGCTTCCCCAGGGTTTGCAGGGTGGGAAGGGTCCGCGGGGCTGCGGGTGGGTGTGGGAGGGAGGGGCGCGGGAGGCTGGGCGCCCAAAGGTGGGGGGCCGGGAGCAGGGTGGTAGCACCCGAAAGAGCTGGGGTCGTGGGTGGGCAGGGGCCTGCGCGGGGCCGCCTGGGGGACCCCAGGAAGAAAGTGGCCACTGGAGCAGCTGTGGGCGGGGTTTGCAGGTGGGGCGGGGCGGGGCTTGCGGTTGGACCCGGGGCTATGGGCGGGGCTTGCGAGGGGACCGGGGCTGTGGGCGGGGCTTGTGAGGGGACCGGGGCTGTGGGCAGGGCTTTTGGGGGACAGGGACTGTGGGCGGGGCTTGCGGTTGGACCAGGGGTTGTGGGCGGGGCTTGCGGGCGGACCAGGGGCTGTGGGCGTGGCTTGCGGGCGGACCAGGGGCTGTGGGCGGGGCTTGCGGCTGGACCAGGGGCTGTGGGCGGGGCTTGCGGCTGGACCAGGGGCTGTGGGCGGGGCTTGCGGGTAGACCAGGGGCTGGGGGCGGGGTTTGCGGGCGGACCAGGGGCTGTGGGCGGGGCTTGCGGTTGGACCAGGGGCTGTGGGCGGGGCTTGCGGTTGGACCAGGGGCTGTGGGCGGGGCTTGCGGGCGGACCAGGGGCTGTGGGCGGGGCTTGCGGGCGGACCAGGGGCTGTGGGCGGGGCTTGCGGGGGACCGGGCGGGCGGGGCGGCGGGCGGGCGGCGCTGTCCGGTGCTGAAGCGGCGGCGGCGCGGAGGGGAGAGGCCGCCATGGACTGAGCCGCCAGCATGGGGCCGCCGCTCGCGCTGCCGCTGCTGCTGCTGCTGCTGCCGCCGCTCCCGCCCGCCGCGCCCGCGCCCCTGGCCCGGCCGCTCGCGGGGCTCCGGGGTGAGTGGGGCGGGGAGCGTGCCCGAGGCGGAGGGGCGGGGGTCTGCCGGGGCGGGGTAGGGGCGCCTGGGAGGAGGCTGGGGCCTCGGGCCGGAGGGACGGCTGGGGTCGCGACCCAGCGTTGTCGCCCCCGCGGCGGCCGTCGCCCCTCCGTCCGAGTCGCCCCTGTGCGCTGCCCTTGCTGGTGGCGTGGGTGAGCCCCGCGTGTTCGTGCCGCGTGCGCGGGGGGGGGGAGCACGAGTGTGGGTCCCGCCTAGCAGGCGGCTCCTGCGTGACAGCCCGGGGGCAGGGCGCCCCATCAGCCCGGGGGGGGGGGCAGGGCGCCCCATCAGCCCGGGGGGGGGCAGGGCGCCCCATCAGCCCGAGGGGGGACAGGACGCCCCATCAGCCCGGGGAGGGGGAGCAGGGCGCCCCATCAGCCCGGGGGGGGGGCAGGGCGCCCCATCAGCCCGGGGAGGGGGAGCAGGGCGCCCCATCAGCCCGGGGTGGCAGGGCGCGGGCCTCAGGAGGAGCTGGACGGTCCAGCAGAGGCGGGGGTCCGGGCCCGGCTGGGGGCTCTGGGGGCGGAGGGCCGCGCACCTGCCTGGGGCCTGCCCGCTGGCCTCGCCCTGCGCCCGCCGAGCTCCCCTCCCGCGGCCCCGTGGGCTCTGCCCCTGGCCGGCCGCCACCCTCCACGTCCGCAGGTCCGGCCCTGCCGCCTGGGAGGCCGGGCTGCCCTCCTTCCGGCAGCTGCAGGCCCAGCGTGTGCGGAGTCAGAGGAGGGGCCCGGTGCTGCCGCCCAGGCCGGCGCCTTCCTCTCCACCCCGTGCCCAGACAAGGTTAGGGCCGGCACCCCGGGGAGCGCTGGCCCGCCCATCGCTGCGGGTGGAGGCACCTTCCTCCTGCCCCCAGGGGCTGCCCTCTGCTCAGAGCCCAACCCTCTAGGGCACCGGGGGAGCACCCGCTGCCCTCTCCTCCCCTCCCCCCTCTCCCTTCCCCTTTCCCTCCCTCTTCCTCCCCTCTCCTTTCCTTCTCCCCTCCCTCCCCATCCCCCTCTGCTCTTCCCTCTGCTTCTCCCCTCCCTCTCCCCTCCCCATTTTTCCTCCCCCCTCCTCCTCCCTCTGCTTCTCCTCCCCCCTCTCCCCTCCCTCTGCCCCTCTCCCTTCCCCTCCCTCTCCCTCCCTTCTCCCCTCCCCTCCCCCTTCTCCCCTCCCCCTTCTCCCCTCCCCCCTCTTTCTCCTCCTTCCTCTGCTTCTCCTCCCCCCTCTCCCCCTCTTCCCTCTCCTTCCCTTCTCCCCTCCCTCCCCATCCCCCTCTGCTCTTCCCTCTGCTTCTCCCCTCCCTCTCCCCTCCCCATTTCCCCTCCCCCCTCCTCCTCCCTCTGCTTCTCCTCCCCCCCTCTCCCCTCCCTCTGCCTCTCTCCCTTCCCCTCCCTCTCCCTCCCTTCTCCCCTCCCCCTTCTCCCCTCCCCCCTTTTTCCTCCTTCCTCTGCTTCTCCTCCCCCCTCTCCCCCCTTCCTCCCCTCTCCCTCCCTTCTCCCCTCCCTCCCCATCTCCCCACCCCCTCTCTCTCCTCTTCCCTCTGCTCACCTCCTTATCTCCCCCTCCCCTCTCCTCTCCCCCTCCTCCCTCCCCCTCTCCCCTCCCTCTCTCTCCTCTCCCTCTCCCTCTCTCTGCCATCTGGATCTTGTTTGATCACTGTCACACCCTCGTTATTCAAACAACAGCACAAATGAGAGCTGCACCTTAGACCTGCCCAGCCAGGTCCTGGTGACCTGCGTGCGTGGCCATGGACAGCGGGCAGCCGCCCACGAGCCCAGGAGACCCGTCGCCTTCTTCAAGGCCCTTCCTGTCCTCACTTTAGCTTCCAGCCGGCACCGGGCGCCCGTGCCCCCCTGCAGCAAACGGTGCACCTTCCCGGTGACACCGGAGCGGAGCGGGCGGGACTGGCCAGCGGGAGCCGACCACTGGGCTCCGGCCCAGATCCCGACCAACGCGCAGCCCGGCCAGGCCCGACCCAGCTGTCCGCTCTCTCTGGCCGCCCGGTCCCTGCCCGCCTCTCCCGCGGCCGCAGGACTTCCTGTGTCTGGTGCCCGCACTTCCTCCGTGAATCTGCCGGCCCAGCCTTTGTCTCCACCGCTTCCCCGGAGCCCGGTGAGCACGGCAGCGAGAGGCCTTCCCCTGGGGTCGGCGCCAGCCCGGCCACAGCCTGCAGGAGAGCCCGCCGGCACCGCCGTGGGCGCTGCCCTCGTCTGTCCCCGGGCACCGCAGGCCCACGCCGCTGCCTGCGAGCGCGGTGCATGATGTTTACTTTTCCCTCGAAGCTTCCTGCCTCCTGCCACAGAAGCACAAACCAGCTTTGCTTCTTGGGGTCCAGAGCCCTGGGCCTTCCCGGCGGCCTGCTGCCCTGCGCCGTGGCCTGGGCTTGGGGAAGGGGTGCTTTGGGGACGCGGCTTCCGGCGGCTCCTCTGCCAAGTCGCTCTCCTGCCCGCCCCGGCACCCCGCGCCCTCACGGAAAGTGGGGACTGCGTCCCTCCGTGGGTGCTGGCCCCGCGCTGGCACGTGCCCGGGGTTCCTGCTCACGGAGCCGGGCCTGGTGACAGGACGGGGGCTGGCCACACCCCAGGCGTGTGGACTCCAGGGCGCCATCCGCGGCTCCTGAGGGAGTGGTTTTGTGTGCTGTTCAGTGCAGGATCACCTAGTTTGTGAGTGCTGTCACTCCCGGTTTTGTCTGGAGTTTTGAGAGCTGGGCTTGGGGAGAGGCAGTGGGAGAGATGGCCCATGCGGCTCAGTGCTTAGAGCGCCAGTAGGTCTTGGGGGCGACTTCCAGTCAAGGGCACGTACCTGGGTTGCAAGTTTGACCCCCAACTCTGATTGGGCACGTGCAGGAGGCAACCAATCAGTGACTCTCTCTCACATTGATGTTTATCTCCCTCCCTCCGTCTCTCTCTCAAAAAAAAGGGAAAACATCCTGGTGAGGATTTAAAAAAGTTTTCTATGAACATGAGCTCTCAGAGTTGAAACCCTTATGGAAAGGTGTTAGCAACCAAACGCGCCCTTCGCCGCCGGTGTTACGGAGCGGAGGTGTGGGGAGTCCGGCCCGGGCCTAAGGGGTGGGCAGCCGCTGGGCCATCCTGGTGGGCGGCCGGAGGGCTGGGAGAGGAGCCTCCTCCGCCGCCTCCGGCAGCAGCGGCCCAGGCAGCCCGCGCCCTCGGCACCTGCCAGCCGCTGCCCCCGGCGACGCTGACCTTCGGGCGGACGCCCAGCCGGACGCGCCTTACTCTCGGTTGATCCGAGGCCAGAAGGGAGAGCCAGCCCTCTGGGCGGCGGCTTCGACAAGCCCCGCTCCCCTCCCCCTGGGAGGCCGAGCAGGAGCCCGGGCCGGCTGCCCGGGGTGCGAGCCCCCCCACAGGCCTCTCCCCGGGCGCCTCCGGAGGGTCCCGCCTGGGGCCCGGCTCCCCGTCCCACAGGCAGGCCGGAGACACGGTCACACAGGACGCTCCGTGCCTGCTGGTCTGGCAGTGACGGGGGCTGAGTGCCGGTGCAGCTCCACCCCGGCCACAGGGCCACCCTCCCTGGAGGCGGGAGGGGGTGTGGGACCCACTATCTGTCCCTGATGGAAGGGCCCCTGGTTCGGAGCACGCGGGGAGCTCCCTGCCAGCAGTGGGGCCTGGGGCGGGGGGCGGACACCGGGCGGAGGGGGCGCTAAAGGCCTGGCAGAGCAGCAGTGAAGTGACTGGTGCATGGACCCGGTGACAGGAGCCGGGAGGCCGGCACCCCCCGCCTTCGGGAGCAGCCTGCCCGTCCGCCTGCTCCGTGTGCTCCCCAGGACGGCGTGGATGGGAAGGCTGAGCTGGCGGCCGGCCGGGCCGGGGGGCGGGGGGGGGGGCCGCCTCTGGCCCAGGAGTCTCCTCTCTCCCAGGCGGGAGGGCCGGCGGGCTGCTGCTCCCCGGGCGGACGGAGGCTCTCCTCGGGCCGGCTGCCTCGCCAGGAGCGCTTTCCAGGAAGGAGACTGCGCCTGGGCCCGGGGCTTCCGGCTTCCGGCGGTTTGTCCTGGGCGCCGGCTGTGCCTCTGGAGGAAGGCTGCTGTTTGGAAGGGGTGCCGCCCCTGGGCCGCCAGCCTCCCGCGGTGTGGAAGCGGGGTGCTGGGCCTCCGGCAGACCTGTCTCCCCCTCCCCCGCCCCCCAGCCCTCTAAGGGCCTCTTTCTGTTTTGCTTTGTTTATTCCTTCGTTTTGTTTTAGATGTGGTGCTCGTCTTTCCCGGTCTGATGAGTCCACGGGCGTGCATCCTCAGCCGGGGCACGCCAGCTCTGTCCTCGCCGCGGGCACCTCCGCGGCCGCGCCCACGGGCGGGGCACGCGGGCAGCGCCTCTGGCGGCGGTGTGTTCTCTCAGGAAATTCCCCGGAGGGCTACGGGCTGGGTGGCAGTGGCAGCTCCTGTTCCCTGTGTGAGGACGTCCTCGCCGGCCCTCGCTCTTCATGGGAGTGGCACCTGTGTTGTCTTGATTTGCCTCTCAGCTGGCAGTGATTTGGAGCACCTTCTCCCGTCCCTCCGGTGGCACTTCCTCCTTCGTGTGCTGTCCCACGGCCGCCAGCCCACTGCCTCCGCCGGCTGGCCTCGCAGTGCCTGTGTTAAATTGGGTTGTTGGTTTTGGTGTTAAGTTTCATGAATTCCTTACTGAGTGCTCATCCACAGGCCTCCTGCTCAGCCTCCTTCTCATCCTGCTGCTGGCTTCCTTTGCTGCGTAAAAGCTCTTTAGTCTGAAGGCGCAGGCTGGTCACGGCAGAAAGCCCGCTTCGGAGCTGGGCAGAGCCAGTAGGAGTGGCTTGGTTGGTTGAGAGTCGCCCTCTGCACGGAAAAGCTAGGGTTCCGTCCCCATCGAGGCACGTGCCTGGGCTGCGGGCTTGATATCCAGTTGGGCACATACAGAAGGCAACTGATCAGTGTTTCCTCTCTCTCCCCCCCTTCCCCCTCCTCTGTTTCTCCCCCTTCCTCCTCCTCTGTCTCTCCCCCTTCCCCCT